AATTTGGAGAAATTGCTAAATTGTAAGGGATCCAAAATTCGGGGACTAAAATGTAAATACTTAAAAGTTGTCACGAACCTCACGATGAAGATTTGAGAGTGTTCAGAGCCAATTGGATAAAGGAAGACGTCAATGGAATCAAATTTAGTCAAAAGATGATTACAAATCGATTTCCAACCGAAAAATTATGCTCCGATATTTTAGTCTCATATTGAGACCTATTTTTTGCATAGAAAGTGATCGAATTGGAGAATGATGTCTGAATCAAAATTGCAGTCAGATGAGTTAGCTTTCCAACGCATTTTGAATCGCCTCGATCGGACATCGGAATACAAAGTTATGATAAAAATACTGAAAGAAGGTGCAGCTACCTGTTTAAAACAAGAAATTCCGTTACATAATCCGTTAAAACAACAAATTCCGTTAGTTTTTCCGTTAAAAATAAGAAATTCCGTTACATAGCCACTTTTAATATATAGAAGATTTCCATTGGTTTAACGTTCTCTTAACAATTGTCTCTCCTCATGAGTCACCTGCTACCAATGCTAAAACGACGAATCTAACTACGTCAATATTTTAGAAAAATTTATTGACAAGACTAGGTGTAGGTTTAAGAAGTTTTGCTAAAGCCCAATATATTATTACTTTTCATACGTTAACATGTTAGTCCATTATATTATTAGATATTCGATGAATAAATGCTGTTTAGTTAAATAATTATGTAATATGAACAATTAATAAAAGGGTAATTAGCACATAATGTCCTCGTCTTTCACTTCTATTGTGAAAAAAGTTCTTACATTTCATTTTTTTAACATTTTCACCTTTATTTTCACATTTCACTGCGTAAGGGTTATTTTCACCAATTTTCTCAACTAGAAATTGTAAAATGACAAATATACGATTATCTTTAAATAAAACAAAAACAAAAAGAAAAAACAAATTGCAATCATAGTCCCAATTTTTTTTAAAAAAATGAAAATGAGTTTCTAATAAATTATTAAAAGGGTAATTAGGACATAATGTTACCATCTTTCACTATTATTGCGAAAAACATCCATACCTTTCATTTTTTTACCCTTAATTACACATTTGATTGTGCAAACCATCATTTCTATCAATTTTCATTCAATTTCTCAATAAATAGCTATGAAATGAAGAATATATCACCCTATTTAAAAAGAAATTAAAGATTTTTTTTTCAATTTCTAATTTTTTTTAATACTTTGTTTATGACTCATTTGCACTTTTCAATTTTTTTTTATTTTTTAATAAATTTAATTGGGATTCGTTTGCATTTTTTTTAAAAAAAAAATTTAATTTCTAATTTTTTAATAATTGATTTGGGACTCATCTGCACATTTTAAAAAAAATCGGGACTACAATTGCAATTAATTCTTTTAACTTTTTTTATTTTAATATGACAATATTTATCATTTCACAACTATTTATTGAGAAATTGAGTGAAAATAGATAAAAATGATAGTTTGGCATCAAATGTGTAATTAAGGGTGAGTGTTAAAAAAGGAAAATGTATAGACATTTTTCGTAATAATAGTAAAGATATGAACATTACATGCTAATTACCATTTTAATAATTTATTTAGCACTCATTTGCAATTTCTTAAAAAAATTGGGACTATTGTTGCCATTTTTTTCTTTTTCTTTTTGTTTTATTGAAAGAGAATGATATATTCGTTATTTTGTAATTTTTAATTGAAAAAATGGCTGAAAATGACATTTTATACAATGAAAAGAAGAAATAATGATGGAAATGCTAAAAAATGAAAGATAAAGACATTTTTCACAATAGTAGTGAAATGTGAGTACATTATGTGCTAATTTAAAGTTAACAACACATTTTTTAGTAAATAGAAAATAAATAAAAATGGATTGGGTCGTGAACAACCAAATTAGATGGGCCTTAGTCCAAACTACAGAGCCCATGAGACTGTGGTTCTGTCCTCTCTATTACGTACCCTAATTTAGCTGCCATATAAAAGGAGACCCTCCATTCAAAACCCTACTATTCTCCGTAACCCTAGAACCTGCAGCTGCAAATTCTGTGTGTCTCCGAAGGTAAATCCTCCATTTTCATTACGTTTTTCTCTTATATTCTATTTAATTATTGTCATGTTTTCTCCAATTATATACAAGCTTTTCCTTTTCGTTCATATTAGTTTCATTTTCAGTAGATCAGAATTCTTAGAAGGAAAATGTCTTGCGGAGAAATCGCTTGCACCTATGCTTGCTTGATCCTTCACGATGATGGCATCCCTATCACTGTAACGTTTTCTTCAACCCTATATATGTATACATCAGCGTATGAATAATGATTTTTATCTATGGATCTTAGTTTTGCCTTCTGTTTTTCGACTTTAGGCGGAGAAAATTGCGACACTAGTTAAGGCCGCTAATGTGAAAGTCGAATCATACTGGCCAAGCCTTTTTGCTAAGCTTTGTGAGAAGAGGAACGTCGAGGACCTTGTCACGAATGTTGGAGCTGGGGGTGGTGGTGCTGCAGTAGCAGTTGCTGCCCCTGCTGGTGGCGCTGGTGCTGCTGCCGAAGCTGCCCCGGCTGCTGAGGAGAAGAAGGTATTTGCTTTACTTCATTTATACGTTTGTCCGATGGGTCATGATATGATACTTGTATTCTGTTCTATTATAAATTGTAATTTTAATACATATTTAACGTTAATTCTTTAGATTAATAAATTGACAATGTGCATTTAAATAATGATTTTTCAGGAGGAGCCCAAGGAGGAGAGCGACGACGATATGGGCTTCGGTTTGTTTGATTAGAAGGAGCTCTTTTAAGTACGTTTGTAGCATTTTCTTGCAAAAGCTAGAGAGATCGCCTAAGTCTGTTATTGTCAACTCGTTATGGTGGTTTTGTTTCATGTGTTGAAAGATTATTAAGTTCATGAAATAGTGGGCTGTCCGAATTTCTAAAGATATTGAGCAGCAATTTAAATTTGTCTATTTTGGTTTCTCCACTGTTTGTGAAGTTTTGTTGTTTTGCTTTAGTCATTAATATTGATTGTTGCAATGTGCACATCTGATCTGGTAGACATTTTTCCAATTATCTTTGTTTCTTGATGCCAAACATTGATATTTGAATGTGTTATTATTATTATTTTTTTGTGAAAGTTATTGCTTTTTGATTATGTCCACTGTAACCTCCAAGTTGATCATATTTAAGGGCCTGCTCTTTCATAGTTTTTATTGTGTTCAATTCAACGGTCTCTTGCTACATTCAATCATGATTTCTTCCGTTGTCTCATTTTTTTGCGATGTGGATGCTGCATTCAAATTATTCCTCGAGGATGATGATTGTAATATTCTTCTTTTAGCTTATGGAACATTATGTTTAGTATTTATGTTTTAAATGAGATTCACCTCCAAGTTTCCCTTGCAATTTTTATTGGTGATCATTTATTTAATTTAAATTTTTATAAAAGATGTTTCCTAATTTTTTTTTTGCCTAATACCCCCAATTATTTGAGCTGCCTTTGTTAGTGTTTATAATTGATGTTAAGTATTATCAACTTAGTCGTGTTCAATTTCTAGCTATGTATCTATGGACTAGGAGGGAAGTATCAAATGAGTTCTCCATGGTCTTTTGACAGTCATCGCATACATGATTCATCTACTCCTGTACTATGTTTTTGCGTCCTTTTTCATTTTCTTTTGAAGTGCCAATATACATCATTTTTTGCACAAACGATTCATTTTCTTCAAGGTTTTGCACCGTACTTCATTTTCTTCTCAAGGGCCAACTTACACTATGAAGAACTGGATTTTTAGGTGTCCTTTGTAACGTTGATCACTTTGCAAGATAATGGTGCCCTATTGCCACATGTAACTGGATGGAGGGACCTTTATTTTATTAAGCCTCTAATTGGTTTAGATAAAAATGATATTTTTAGTAGATTTGGATATAAGTTCATGGAATGTGGTTGAAAAATGGTTGGGCCTGTAAAATGTGGTTAAATTTATTCGTTGATTTCGATCTTGATTTTAATTTCAATTTTTTTAGTTGAACCAAATAGGGATTTAAGTGTTAATTTTTTCCTATCAAACAGTAAGCCCTTGTTTGACTACCATTATTTAAATTTTTTTCTCCATACTTATTTTCAACTGTACATTAAATTCAAATTTTTTCTTTTTTAATCATATACATTCTCCTTAAAATTATTGTTCAAATCATTGTTTTTGAGGGCAAAGCTATGAGCATCGTTTACAAATGTAGAATGGTAGATGTATAAAAATAATCTGCTGGTCTATAATTCAAATTTTCATCAAGGGAAATTATTTTGAAGCATGTTATTCTTTTCTTCTTAACACACAAGTCATGCTGCGTACATAATATAGGATGGTAAATTGCACAAAATTCTTCTCGAACATGGCTGAAAGTAATTCAGCTTGGGGGAACATGGTAAACATTTTCTAGTGTTTAGCTAGCAATCTTCATCTCTAACAACAAATACTTGTTTGGTATTGTTTGGTCGTCTATTCTATAAAATGTGCGGATAATAAGATGGTGAGTTGTGAATTCTATTAAATATATGGATAAAATATACGTCTGATCAGCTAAATTAAAATTCAAGGAAAGCCAAACGTGCTTGTTATAATTTTTTTTGGAGGGGTCAACCTTTCAATTCAACAAATTTAGCGGGTGTTTGACAGAGATTAAAATTAGATTTTTAGTAGATTGTGATTGAAATTTTTGAAATGTTGGTTGAAAAGTTGTGGGACCCATAAAAGATATTAATATTGATTGTTTGACTTTGATTTAAATTAAAATCTGATTTTAATTTGAAACAAACATGGTCTTAAAGTCAAATATCTGACTCAATGTCCAAATATGTTGACTCTGGCTTTATTTTAAGTCAATTCTCAATGGTCAAACCAGAGCAGCCATTTGTCAACTAATTCACAGCTTTCAATCTACACGAGAAAATGAAGAAGTTGAATTAGTGCTAATCCACCAATACCTTTCTATGTAATATCCTAATCCATGAAATCATGGCCCGTGTTTGCTGGCCTTAAATATGAAAAAAATTATGTATTGAATAGTATTTTTTTTAGGAGAATTTATTGTTAGAAAGTAAAAAAAAATTAATTTTGCATGTAAAATATTTTATTGTGCGAATGTATGATTAAAAATAAATATGAAAAATAAATTAAATTAAATTAAGGCAACCAAAGAGGACGTCATTCACGTTACTACCACGTCAACAGCACGCTACGTTTGACCCACTAACGACCAACCTCAACATGCCACGTTTGACCCATTCATGTACGTTCGTTATGTTTTAGGTAACTTCCAGAAAATTCAGAAACGAAGAAATTCATTGGAAAAAAAGGTATTTGGTCAGTCTTCATCCCGCCAAAGATAGGAATATTGTCAATTGGCCTAATCAACAACGTAGAAACTTCCTTTCTTCAACACGTCAACTTCCAGATTTTACCATAAATCTTCCCAATTCAATTTTCCCTCTATAAATACCCTTTTCTTCATGATCACGAATCAAGATCAATTCTCCAACAATCAAAGCAAAGCAAAAACTGCCGCTTATAAATTAAAATTTCTACAAACCTTTTTCTTGGAATCAAACAGGAGCCATGTTGATGTCAATTTTCAGTTCTTTTGATGCACTCTGTGCAGAGTCTTTAGGACAGAAAGTGGCTCTTTCTTGGGCTCCATCTTCTAATATGGAAGTGCAAAGGCAAGGGGTTTCTAAGAAATTTGATGAGGTTAAGAAGGGCAAAGAAATAAGTGACTCATCACAGCCACCGTCTCAAGCCAAGAAAACGGAAGTTCGCCTGCCGGCGAGGAGGCCAAGGTTCGCGCCGGAGTTTGATGGTGTGCACTGTTTTGAGACCATTATTCCTTATTGATTACGGGAAGTTGTAAAATATTGGAATTGTTTCTCAATTATAAGTGTTTCTCTTAATTGACTTTTTTTTTTTCCCTATTTTTGACGAAAGAAACTTGATAAATATTCAAATCCATGCTCAAATCCGAAGGTGCCACAGGGTTCAAACGTCAAGCACCGAGATTTTGTGTCTAAGCCAACCTAAAAATTCACAATGCTTTTGCAAAATCAAATAAAACAAACAAGTAAACTTTAAAGGAACAAAATTGTATATGAAAAGATATAAAATATAGCAAACATGAAAATGATAAACGAAACTCGAAATATCAATTATGTGAAGGGTCACAGTAAATGTTGAAAGTAGTCTGTCGTAGACAGCAAAATGTGGAGACTTAAAAGTTCGAATTTCAAGGATGAGGATGAATTTCAAAGACGCGCTAAAAGTTGAGGACTAAAGGCACAATTTTTCCTTCGGATTATATACAAGGAATTCTGAAGAATATTTTGGAACTGATAACCTGAAAATTGCGATAAGAATACAAATAAGAAAGGGATGTGGAATAAAGATAGGGTTATCCTTTGCCTTTTAAAAGGCACCCAAACATAATACATATCCTTTCTTCTCAACATTAAGCTTCCGTTTGATCCTTTTTTTTGAAAATATATTTTTCTCTATTTTTTTCAACTATACATTTTTCAATAAAATAATATTACACGTAAATTCAAATTTTTTTCTTATTTTTTAACTATATATTCTCCTTTTTTTTGAAAATACATTTTTCTCTATTTTTTTCAACTATACATTTTTCAATAAAATAATATTACACGTAAATTCAAAAATTTTTCTTATTTTTTAACTATATATTCTCCCTTAATTTACTATTTCAAAATACATTCTATACCAAAAAATAAAAAAAAATGGGGCTCAAACAAGATACAAAAAAGTGCTGTTCAGGGTCCAAATGAGACAAGAAAAATCTGTCACCACTGTGAACAATTTGAAACAGCATAGCATAAATAAAACGTACAGAAGGACGCCATCCTCACGGTAATTGAATTTTATAAAGAGGATAAAGATTGTATATTGATGTGTTAAAAGACAAAACAAAAAAGTTTTTCTGTAAGATAAAAGGAAAGAAGGCCTAGATGGACCGGTCTGACGACGATCTTTGGATAGATCAACAAGGATCTTACTAACTAGGTTTACAAATGTATCCTCAGTTAGTCCTTGGACATGCTCTTTTTCCTATGTTCCCGAACGTTCTTGCCAAACCAAATATAAGGGGCTTGGTCAAGAGTCCTCGGTCGAGACTACAGCCAAGTACAACTGCACCCCCAATTATCAGAAGCTTCGGTATGTTTACACCACCCTTGGGCTTCCTAGGTGAATCCAGTATTTGTGTCTCCGATGATTCTTCTTCACCTTCCAAAATCTTCAGGTAGTTGGGATCAATTTTTGTGTTGATTTGAGCCATAAATGCAGGATGAGATATGGGCGCTCCAGATGCCCTTGCCTTCTGGTAAGCCCGAAAACCACGATCAATATTCCTAACAGCTCCCCACATGCCCTGTCGTACCCCAAATCTTGCAATTTCCCATGGGATGCCCATATCTTCATGATGGAAGAGTATTACCTCACATGCAGACAGTTCGCCGCCTCTTTTCCTTGATTCCACTGTTCCATTCGTAAGCAGAATGTCAAGAATGAAAATACTTGATCTATGCTTACAGTATTATATAAAACCAGAACTTACTAATAGGAAGTAGCTTAGAGATGGACAAAGGTCACAAAGCAATTTTTGCTTATCCAATTCTAAGAACAACACAAATTCCACAAGTTTGTCTATCCTCTATATAGCCATAAGCCATTCATATGGAAAAACATCAAAAATAAATGTTCCCACAAAACAATAAACTTCTTACCTGCTTGAATGAACCAACTCGAGTAGTACAGATCAACACGTCTTGGTTTGTCTTTCCTTGGAACCGAAGGACAGGGAACACCCTGGTCAAGAGACAAGAGGGGTTAGACTCAATCATAGAAACCTAACTTCAACAGGGTTTTAAGCCTTGGAGGAAGGCATTACTAGAAGAGAGATTTATTCTCTTCATTAGTCGTTCTTCTCTTCCCAAGGGAGAGAACGGCCAACAAAAAGTACAAAAGAACCACATAAAGGTTTTATTTTCGTTTCTTACTCAATTACTGCAAATAATTCCATACCTTTGTCACACAATAATAAGATCTTCCAGACTCCCATATTCGACGGCCTATAATGTATTCTCTGTTGCTGCAGAAAAAGGGAAACTGCACAAAAGAACTGAAGCAATAAGAACAATTTTTCTTAAGCAAAATAACATATATGGGCCCATGTTACATGTAGTTGGTTCTGGTTTCCTAACCTTCCTTATCCAATGAACCATCATTGTTCCAGTGGCAGGGCATTCTTCTATAATTGCCGCATGGATAAGCATATCGTCCCACTTCATTCGAAACTCATCATCCCAAAAGAAGTCCCTCAATAGTTCAGGTGTTGCATCCTCATATACAGTTCTGCTACAATACTGCGGGGGACCATTCTGACAAGTATAAAGATACAAATTAATTTTAAAAAAAAGTTGCAAATAAAGTAAAGGACACATATACTCATGCGTCGTATAAGCAGAAGAGAGGATAAGTTCATATAGTGAAAAATAATACTCAAACAGCACATTTAGTACCTCAGGATCTCTCTGCCATGCTTGGTAACTCATATTGTGGGTTGAACGATCCATCATATGCTTCCAAGGGGGACCTCCATCTTTCCTCTCAACAAGATGACATAAATGAACCAGATCATCATTCATAACAACCAAATTCTCTTCTTTTCTTGTCTCTGAAGAACTATAAGGGCAATATACATGTTATGAGTAACTCTTAGTTCGTTAACATATAAGAAAGGGGAAAAGTCTACATCTAACGTTAATCTATTTATGTGCTAATTGACTGACGTGGCAAGTTATAGAAATCACTTTTGTTGGTAACATGTGAAGTAACGTTCATTGATATGAAATAACATTCATTGAGCTAGAATGCGTAGAGTTACTTAAAAGTGTTCTTTACTCGAACAAAATCAAAGTTGAGAGTAATTCACATATTCTCAAAAAGTGCGTACACAATTAACATGACTACAAATGTTTCGCATTCAATCCAACTACACAACTGCAAATAGCATTACCAACAAGACAAAAAAGCACATATTCTCCATTCATGGAAATAGCATTACAATTTTAAATCATTGTTGTATATTTGCATTTCAAACAATACAACATGAAAATCTTAAAGAAGCATAATATCCAACTGTTACCATATCCAAGCAATACAATATCATTTAGCCAGCACCCATTTCCATTGGTAAAGTTGTCAAAAGTTATCTTTCCTTGAGTTTGATTGCAGGTCTGGGAAGAACGCTAAAGCCCTTTATTTAGATACAAGCATACAAACTATAAAGAAACATATCAGATCCCACTGTTAAGGTGCCACTCCTAGGTTTAGTAAGCTCCTATGTTAAAGAACAAGGCTACAATTTTTTTGAACTGAATGAAACAACTCTGCAAATATCATCCAAAGCACATAATTTGGCAGAAACAGGAAGCTTCAATACATTAATCATCAGCCTATTCCAATAATAGAACACCAAGGCATTCGAGTCTAAACACAATATCATATGATCTATCATCAAGTTGTGAACAAATTCTTGAATTCCAAACACGAATTTACCTTGAAACAACGTTGTCCACCCCGGGCAATTCGGCATGTTCGTTCTCTAATCTATTATCCAATACCAAAGAATCTAAAATTTGGGTTGAACCAAAGCGCTGGACAGGGGAAGGAATCAAGGAAGAGGGAGATGAAGGTGCTGAAAAATCAAATTTACGTTTTCCCAAACTAGCCCATCCTGGTTTCCACGCCCAGCCTACCATTATACCCAGAAAAAAAGCAATCCAAACAGGACCCAAAATCTGCATCATCCCTATTATAATTGCCCCCATTGTGGGCCTTTCGAAAATCTCCAAGAATGCCTCAGCCAATGTCATAACTATTAATTTACAAGAATGAAAGAAGAAATTTTTACGATAAACGGAACCAAGATTTTTATTCAAGGTGAAATCGATGCCTCCGTTAAAACTAGCTGGTGGTTGATAAAAAAGAGAGAAAAAAAAATCTAGAAATATATATATCACAAGTATATACACAGAACATATTTTTCTGATAAGATTGAAAGGGGACATTAATGGTGGGAAATAGGAATTCTAGATTTGGGTTTTTCACTTTTCCACCAATAACAAAAAATTGGAAGATAACAATACAAAAGGGCTAATCAAAATTTACACCACCAATAGTTGTGTAGCACAAGGTTGCCCAGTAGCCAGCTGTTGAGTGTACAGTGAGCTGTTCAATTCTAAGAGGTTGAAAGCTTCCAAAATTTCTTGAAGAAAATAGCCACCGTAGATTATTTGAGGATTGGATAATGTTGGTGCTGGGGCTGGTTCAATCCAGCCGCTAACGAAAGCTAAACGGTATGGGAATGAACGGGTGCCCTATTTGTGGTTGCCTTGTTTACCACGTTAACAGTATGAAATGTTTGAGTTTTATTTTGGAACAGTAGATTGATAGAGAATGTGTCGTTGAAAAAAGGAAAAATTATTGATAGGATGAAAGATATTATTTTATTGAAAAACGTGTGATTGAAAATGAGTAAAAAAATGAGATTGAAAATTTCAATGTGATTCAAATGAGAGCTTGAATTACAATTAATAATATAATAAATACATGTAATTCATTATCTAAAAATTATTTTATTTTAAATTCATTTTTATGTATGCATTCATTTAATAAAATATTTTACATTTAAATTCAATTTTTTTTTTTAAATTTGAAAACTATGCATTCTTTTAATAAAATATTTTACGTCCGTTTGAGCCTCATTTTTGTGTAGAATGTATTTTGAAATAATAAATTGATAAAAAAATATGTGATTAAAAATAAAGGAAAAATATTTCAGGTTAAATGTAATATTATTTTATTAAAAATATGTGATTAAAAATAAGATAAAAAATATATTTTGAAAAAATAGGAATCGAACAAGGTCTTAAGTTCAAATTTTTCTTATCCATTTTAAAAGTACATATTCTTAAAAAATTCACTTTTATAACCTATTTTCAACAAAAGGACGAGGCTCAAACATAAGCTAAATAAGAAAGAAACATGCTACATGTACATTAATTTTTACAGTAAGTTTGACATTTTTTGACATGTTATCTATCATAGTCAATGATTTGAATAGTGTTTCTCGTGTAGAATGTTTTACATAATGATGTTGTATCAAAATGTAAGTGGAGAAGTTATTTAATTGATGAAATTTTGATCCAATTAAATCTCACCATATTATATGCTCATAAAATATTATGTAAATGATTATGTACATCTCGCACAACTCCATTGATTTTTACATCCTTTCATATTATTGGCCAAATTTTGATAATTGGAAGAAATGTCATCTTTAGCCCTTGTTTGGTTCAACATTATTTCTAAAATATATATTTTTTTCTCTTACTTTCAACTATACATTTTTCAATAAAATAATATTACACACGAACTCAAAACTTCTCCTTATTTTTTAACTACACATTCTCCATAAAAATACTATTAGAAAATGCATTCTGGGCAAAAATGTGGCACAAAGACTCTCAATGTCAACAAAAAATGCACATCTAGATTCATTCAATAAAAAATCATAAATCTGAAAACTAAAGTAATAGATAAAAGGAAAATGAATCCATGTTAGACAGTTGTTATAAAGAGAAATTGAGGAAAAAAGATATTTGAATAGTGATTTTTCAAAGAATATGTGGTTAAAAAATATAATTTTTTTTGAATTTATGGATAAAATATTTTATTACGTGAATGTATATAGAGGTGTCAATCCGGGTGGTCCGGGCCGGGTTGGCCCGCCAACATGTGAGCCCGGTAACGGCCCGCGTGAAAAAAAGCCCGCCCGCTGCGGGTTCCGGGCCGGTTACGGGTCGGCCCACAATTTTGGACTACAACCCAGGCCCGCCCGCTGACCCATCCGGGTCGAGCCCATGCGGGTCACGGGTCG